TCCTGCTCCGTGTGCTCTGTGAGTCCCCACGGGCGGGGGGGTCCCGAGCTCCGGGTTAGGGGGGTCCTGCTGGGAACCCCCTCCCCTGCTCCCACCCCCAGGTTCCCTCCCTCAGCACCCGGTGCTGCCCGGGGGCTCTGGGGCAGAAGTGGGAAATTCCCTGTTAGGGGTAAAGCTGGAAGGCTGGGTCTGGGGGGGTGTGGGATGTGCAGAGGAAACCTGAACATTCCCAAGAGCCAAAGAGTTTTCAGATGTCCAGGGAAATTGAATTCCATTGATCCTATTCCATGGTCCTAGGGCAGGGAGGGGTGGGATGAGGGGGTGTGGATTAAAACTGGAAGAGGGGAGATTGAGGTGAGACATGAGGAGGAAATTCTGTGCTGTGAGGGTGGTGAGAGCCTGGCCCAGGTTGCCCAGGGAAGCTGTGGCTGCCCCATCCCTGGGGGTGTTGAAGGGCAGGTTGGATGGGGCTTGGAGCAGCCTGGGCTGCTGGGAGGTGTCCCTGCCCACGCAGGGGTGGGACTGGGTGATCTTGAAGGTCCCTCCAACCCAAACCATGCCCCCACTTCTATGATTCTCAGGACAAGAAATGACCCCTGTGAAAAATACATTCCCGTTGGATTTCACCTTCCAACGCTTTTCCACTCTGGAAAATAAAAATCTCTCCCCAAAGCCAAACCAGGAAAAAACCAAACCCTTGGGAAGTTTCAGTCCTGCCCAAATGGTGTTTTTCTGTAGCTGTGGTAGGGAACAGGGATCCCAGCTGGAGCCCTGCTGTCCCAGCCACTGGTGTCTCTGCAGAGCTGCTCCCCCCCTCCCCCAGGGGCAGGGGCAGGGCTGGACACCCGTGCTTGTCCCTGGTCTCAAGCCAGGTAACCACAGAAGTGCCCTCAGAGGTGGCAGGGTCACACAGGTCAGCCAGCAGATGTGGGTCTGGCAGCTGGAAGGTGGTGGGATGCCCAGGAACTGCTCGGGTGGCACTGGGAAGTAGCAATCCCTTGGGATCCTGGAGTTGTCCCAAGCTCAGGGACCCCCGATGTTCTCACCTGGGGGTGTTTTATCCCTGCAGTCCCACCGAGGCCACCAGTGATGAGCTCCTTCCTGGAGACCCAGAGCGGGCGCCTGGGCATCATCCAGTGCACTGCTGAGAGTGACCCAGAGGCCAACCTGACCCTGTGGAGAGGAGGAGACATCGTAGCCTGCAGGTGGGGCTGCCCCGTTGCCCCCAGCCCCAGGGTCCACGTCACCTGGTCCTACAACAGCCTGAAGGTGGAGATCCAGGAGGTGGTGCTGGAGGATGAGGGGACCTACGTGTGCTGGGCTGGGAACGCAGAGGGCAACTCCAGCACCACCCTGGACTTCAGGGCTGAGAGTGAGTGTGGAAGGAGGCAGATGCCACACAACAACCCCACAGCCTCTGGGGAAAGCCTGGGAGGGGGTGCCAGGGAAGGAGGTGAGCTCGGGAGACCGTGGGTGATGGTGGCAGAGGGACAGAAGGAGCAGAAATAGGCCCCGTGCCCATGAAATGCACAGTATCAACCAGTGTCTGTTCTCAGGAGGGTGGGTGTGAGTAGGGTCAAAGTGGGGGCTGCTGCAGGGATGGGGGGCAGCCCCTCCAGCCTCTCCTGGTAGGTTTGGAGGGTCCCCCTATGGCCACAGCAAGGGCTCTGGCTCCTGGGGGGGACTCCCTGCCCATCCCTGCCCATGTGGGCTCAGGGATGCTGGGCAAGATGCTGCTGATGGGGTTCCCAGGGGTCCCCTCAGCACATCACCCCTGGGCTGGTGAGGCCATGGGTGGCCAGTGCCTCCTGGTAGGGTCTGGCTCCTGGTAGGTTTGGAGGGTTCCCCCATGGCCACAGCAAGGGCTCTGGCTCCTGGGGGGGACTCCCTGCCCATCCCTGCCCATGTGGGCTCAGGGATGCTGGGCAAGATGCTGCTGATGGGGTTCCCAGGGGTCCCCTCAGCACATCACCCCTGGGCTGGTGAGGCCATGGGTGGCCAGTGCCTCCTGGTAGGGTCTGGTACCTCCTCCTGATGTAGCCTCACTGGCTGGATGGCCCAGGGTGAAGCTCCCCATAACCCTGTTGAGGTGTTGTTGACCATGCCAACCAAGCTGCTGTTCTCCTCCTGCCCACAGCTGCCAGCATCACCTTGGCTCCATCCTCCCATGTCCTGGAAGGCCAAGCTGCCAACCTGACCTGCCACCTGAGCAGCCAGTCTTCAGCCCTGCCCAATGTCACCTGGTACCACAACGGGCAGCAGCTGGCCCAGGGCTTGGCCACCTCCCTGGTGCTCCAGCCCGTGGC